CGTTTTAGACGCTATTGGTAGTTGTAGCAATTTCCCATCTTTGGTCGTAAAAAATTTTGTACCCGCTGAGTTTACAAACTTTTCCTTAGAAATCAATAGGGTCTTTTTAAGACCGACATTTTTTAATTCATTCGGTTTCATCGGAACTTGTTTTTGAATAAAAGTAACCTTCTGATTACTTCTTCCTTGACCAGGTTTGGTCAATATCATATCACCCTTAATCATATTGGTATTAATTAAATTTGCTTTCACTTGATTTGTTGTTTGTAGTATTTTCTCATATGCCGGTGGCGATTCTTGAAGCACAGATGAAGACACTTCTGTAAGCTGCAATTCTTCCTTTTTCTTTCCACAGAGTGTCTTGACTTGTCTCTTATTCTTAGTAGGGCTAAATCTCTCTAATAATTGAAAAATAATGTTATTTTCGTCGTTACAAAATCAAATATTTTCCAATAAATTAATTACACACCCGATTTGTCGTCTTTTTCAGGAGTTTTCATTGCATTAACGGCAGCAGCCATCTCCATATCCAATCGCCGCACCTGTTCCATATCCAGTTGCTTATTTTGACCTCTCCTTCGAGCAGCCGTCATGCTACCACCTCTTGTAGTAAGACCTTTTCGTCCTCCTCGAGCTCTAGCATTACTTCTCTTACGTAGACCAAAATCTGAATCGTTATCATTATCAGATGGTTCTGATTCCGAAGATTCTGTAGACGATTCTGTGATATCATTTTCTTCTTCTTCCTTGTTATTTTTGGTTTGTACTGTAAACATGATTATAATAACACTTTGCCATTATTATATTAATATAAAGAATATAGTTGGTATAGTTAAAAAAAAATTATTAAAATGATACATTTAGTTATTCCTTGATGAACATTTGTTATACTTCTCGACACTGAATGCCCTGACAATTTAGGAGTCCCAATAACGCCTGTATTGGTTCTAGAAGGTCCAGTTGTATTTGGTGATGTAGATACAATCGTTTTACGTATTGATCTATTCATCTGTTTGCTTTGCAACGATATCTATAATACAGGAATTAAATAATTAGTAACAATATTGTTTACTATACATATATATAATAATTAAATTTATATCCTTTACAGTATTCTTAACCCCAACATTGTCCATGTCATTAATGGATGGTGACATAACAATAGCTCGAGGAGAGGATGATTGATGTATATATTGTATATCGTTGGATTCAGATAAATCATCAATAATTGGTAAGGGATCCCTTGGCACAGGATCGTTGGGTGACAATCTGCTTGTGTAACAATGGTCCAGCTGTATATTATATCGCATAGTATTCTGTAACTCTTCTATTGATAACATATCTAAAAAGAATTAATACATACAGAAGTTGCATGGATTAACTATAAAATCAGAAATAAAAATTAAATTTGCGCAATATCTCAAGCTTTGTATTGACAGTAATAATAAAATTTGCAAAAAAGTTGATAATGTAGACAAAAACTTTTTTATCATTGCAATTATAAGACTGGAATAAAAAAGTGAAAAAAAGAAATATATATATATATATATATAAAATACCAAGCATCGCAGTAACATTTTCTCCAAGTATCTGCTTTGCCTCTTCACTTTGCAGAGCTGTTTCTAATCGTTCCAACTGTTCTGGATCCATCTCCATAAAAGGATCTACCAATCCACCTGGATCGGTACTGACATTTGTGCTTACTGAGCTTGTTGTAGAATGAGCAAATGTCGGTGGATCTACTGTCAAGGTTATATCTCCATTTTCAGTATCTGTATCGGCTTGTCCTAATCTTACCACACTAACATTAGCACTTGATTGATTCACTGAAATGACGATTCAGCTATTATTGCACGTCATGCATTATTCATTTATGTCAATCCTTCACAAGACATTATTATATATTTTACTTTACTAACTTGCTTGCAATTGCTTACTTATCAAGTTTTGTAGAGTCGCTTGATCAACAGATATTATCCCATCATCATTGACAACAATGATTAACGTATCATCCTTTTTCTCAGAATTGCTTTCCTGGGGCTCAATGACATATGAACTAGACATTCTGTTTGCCTGAAAAGCAAATTTTTTTTTTTATATATATGCATACTTTTATCTTTTGTTTCCATAAAGGATTTTAGTAACGCAATAAATGCTGCCAGTATTACAATGGACACAAACACAACAGTTTAACGAGTACATGTTATTCCAGATTTATCAAGGACTTACTTCAATCAAAGACAAAAATTATAATTCGTTTACTCATTATTGTACCTGCTGAATGCATCCATTCATTCAAAAGTTTTAACCAAAATTACAACTAATTAATCTAGCACGATTCACTGAATCATCGACTGACAGGGAGAGTTTACTAATTTTGATTCACTATTAAATGTGCACTCAATAAAGTCATAGGTTATACATTCCGATGTATATTGCTAATATTCAGAATCAGTATTTTGCATTTTATAGATTTTCAATATTGGCAGTGTATATCAGCTTTAGATGATTCAATAGGGCTATATTCCAAAATATTCTTTCTGAAGAAAATTTTACTTCAAGTATACAGTATATGTACAGAATATTACAATGAGTAAAATTTTCCTCGGAGGACGAATCTTTTTGGAATCTAATTCCCTTCCTAGAGAACGTAAGGTTATGATTACCTGGAAGCGTAATTGTACAAATGTGCCCCAAAAGTTTCACAAAATTGTCCTTGTTGATCAATAGCATCACAACGTTGTATGTATTCTCGGACACTGCACGGCCATATTGATGGAAACACGTTATGCTCCGGCATCAAAATTCACCTGTCGACAGCATCCACGCCGTAATCGTGAAAACCAGCAATGACTACACTGCAACGATACCGTTTTTCTGTACATAAAAAAGAAGCGGAAATGAGGCAGAAATTTGGCGATTGGAAATATCACGATCGAGTGGAAAGTCGTTGTATCACTTTACATTGCTGAGACGCGGAGCGAGTAACGAAAGCGGCAGCGAGGAATCAATAAGCGTGCTTCGAAGCAATCGCCTTCCTAGCAAGTAAACAACGGTACAATACCGCCAAACGCTATCGAGCGAGCGGCCATTTTGTTTGACCTGCGTTTGATATCGTCGATCGGTGGTAGCCATAATAATAACCGTGCAGTTGCGTTGCAGCTTACCCGTTGCGCTCCCTCGCCGTCGTCAACTCATTCCTCGCGAATGAACCCTCGATATTATTTCCTTATACGATGACGATACAATTTCCTTGTACAAAGCCTTCCGCTCAAAGTTCCACATTCATCAATCTCGATGATTTACCGCATCATCCGTCGGATGGGCCGATTACGCAGATATATACGTAGGTACATATGCATGCCATGACATATATACGTTGTGCGTCGTGCACGGTGCATTGCGCAACTAGGGGATCAATTGAAAATTGGGTGAAAAATGAACAAATACACTAAAATATTTCATCAGTTAACACACAGCGAATTTGCTCACTTTTGCAATTTTCACCTCATTTCAAGAGATTTTAATACACTATCGATCACAATGGTTCAGCGTTCAGTTTGAACGCTTTCAGCGCTTCAGTTCCATCCCTGTTTGATTAAAGGCCCGTCTACAATACACGGAGTAAGAAGTAAGAGTAAGAAATTGACCAATCACAGTCGATTATTCTTCTCACATTCGACTGTGATTGGTCAATTTCTTACTCTTACTTCTTACTCCGTGTATTGTAGATGGGCCTTTACGTTGAAAGCCGAAAGCCGTAAGAAATTGGCCAGTCACAATTGAATATGAAAAAAATAATTGGCTACGATTGGTTAATTTCTTATAGCTTAAGACTTCTGCACATTGGATGCGGAAATGCTTACCGTACGGCAAAATATAACGCAGTAGCCAATAGTCAAGTAGCCAATGAACATGTTAAGATACCAGGGGCTCTATTCTTGAAAAGAAACGTATACGAAAGTCTAGGGAAATACTATAGTATATATTAGAGTGGTATATATTAGAGTCCTAGATTTATCAGAGAGGCGCAACCGGTGTTATGCATTCTGATTCGCTGTTGCAATCTAACCAATTGCGTGACTTGGCAGCCATTTATAGTACTAGTGACATATTTCTATTTCATTTTATCCTATA